TGCCCCTCCCCTCCACTGCCACTAAGGAACGGTCAGTTCTGACAGGATCCATCCTCTGCCTCCTTCTCGCACTCCCAATGCTTTACCTGCCCATGACCATGCCCTCCTGTACACAGGTCACTCACGGATTTCCATCAGCCCGGATCTCTCCTTTGATTCCAGACCCTGGAGCTCACACTCAGCATGTCCAGGACAGAAGTCTTGACCATGCACCCTGCAAACCCACCACCTTCCTGGGTTCCCTGACTCATGTTGTGCCAGAAACTTAGTGTTATTCTTTTTTTTTTTTTTAAATACAGTGTATTGATTTCAGAGAAGAAGGGATAGGGAGAGAGAGAGAAACATTAATGATGAGAGAGAATCATTAATTGGCTGCCTCCTGCATGCCCCCTACTGGGGATCACATGCTTGCAACCTGGGCATGTGCCCTGGACCGGAATTGAACCCAGGGCCCTTCAATCCATAGGCCGACGCTCTATCCACTGAGCCACATCAGCTAGAACTAAGGTGTTATTCTTGATGCTTCTCTTTCTCTCCCTGCCTATCAAGTCCTATAGCTTTTGTGTCCCATGTGGCTCTTGGATCTCTCCACTTCTTTCCATCTCCACCCCTACCCCAGGCCAAGCCACTGTCACCTCTCACTGGGACCATGGGAATGACATCCAACTAGTTATCCTCCCAGTACCCACCTTGTGCCCCTCCCACCTGTTCTCCACACTGCAGCCATCATCACTCTACAAGTATGATTGGCATCACTTACCAGCCAAGCACTCTATCTTGGCATTGAGTATGGTTCCCCCGCCCCCCCCAAAAAATCCGCTACTACCACCTTCTTGCATAGAACTCTTCAATACATTTTCCTTGTCCTTAGGATAAATACAGTATTTATTTTTTTAAATATATTTTTTCATTTTAAAATTACAGTTGACATACAATATTATATTAGTTTCAGCTGTACAACCCCATGATTAGACATTTATAACTTATGAAGTAATCACCTGATAAATCTAGTACCCATTAGACACCATATATTCAGTTATTTCAATGTTATTGATTCTATTCTTGTTTGGGGCACATTGCAGGTGCTTGGCAAATATTAGCACTTGTTTTCCTAGCCCTGTTGTGTTCAAACACATCGTGTGGGTCTCCCCCTCCGCCTGCACTCATCGAATGTGAATACACTGACTCATGGTCAGTTCTCCACGTACCAACACGGCAGATCAAGTAGGATGTGTGAGCTGGCCCCGGCTCCCAGGTGCCACAGAGAGGAGCACCTGCCTCCATGTCGCTGGCCCATCCCTCCCAAACCAAGGGAAGCTCTTTATTTTTCCTTCAATTTTAAGTGATAGCCTGGCTGGGTAAAGTAATCTTGGTTGTAGGTCCTTGCTTTTCATCACTTTATATATTTCACACCAATCCCTTCTGGTTTGAAATGTTTCTGTTGAGAAATCAGCTGGCAGCCTTGTGGGAGCTCCCTTTTAGGTAACAGCTTTTCTCTTGCTGCCTTTAAGATTCTCTCTTTGTCTTTAAGCTTTTGCATTTTAATTATGATGTGTCTTGGTGTGGGCCTCTTTAGGTTCATCTTGTTTCAGATTCTCTGTGCTTCCTGGACTTTACAAGGTCAGTAAAGTTTTCCACCATTATTTTTTTCAAATAGGTTTTCAATTTCTTGTTTTCACCTTCTGACACCCCCATGATGTGAATGTTGGTATGCTTGAAGTTGTCCCAGGAGCTCCTTACACTACTGAATTTTTTTTCTTTCACAATTGATATTTAAATTTTTTTTCTTTTTGCTCTTCTGATTGTGTATTTTCTGCTTCCTTATCTTCCAAATTGCTGATTTGATTCTCAGCTTCATCTACTCTGCTGTTGATTCCCTGTAACATATTCTTCATTTTAGTTAATGTATATTTTTCATTTCTGACAGGTTCTTTTTTATGTTTTTTTTTTTAATCTCCATTTTTATCTTTCCTCCTGTTTGTTAAAGTTCTCACTAAGCTCCTCCACTCTTCTCCTAAGTTCATTGACCATCCTTAAAACCAGTGCTCTGAACTCTACGCTGGTAGATTGCTTGTCTCCATTTTGTTCAGTTGTTTCCTGGAGTTTTGCTCTGTTCTTTCATTTGGGACATGTTTCTTTGTCTCCACCTTTTGGCAGCCTCCCTGTGTTTGCTCCTGTGTATTAGGTAGAGCTGCTACATCTCCTGGGCTTCGTAGAGTGGCCTTGTGTAGTAGGTGTTCTAGAGGGCCCAATGGCACAGCCTCCCTGGTCACCTAAGCTGGGTGCTCCAGGTGCACCCTGTGGGCTCTGTGCACCCTCCTGATGTAGTTGGAGCCTTGATTGCTGTTGGGACATTATTGGGAGGGATTTACCCCAAGACTCATTGGCTGCAAGGATGAGCTGTGACCACTGTGGGGGATCAGCTGTGCAGGGGACAACTCCATGGGAGGAGAACTCACTTCAGTT